CTGACAAAAATTCAATTTGGGGAGAATCAGTTTCTGAGGCATACCTACCATGAAGGAACAATGCCACCTAAAAACAGTGTCTCCCAATTCCAGAGATACTGTGGCAGAAGGAAATGAAAGCCACAAAGTGGTCCAGGAAAATCAATAGGCCTTTTCTCCCCTGCCCATTGCCCAGCACAGGTAATCTACCCTAGCAACTAAGGCTACTTAGTCACAAAACAGAATTGGAATTTGATGGGAAAGGAGATAACTAGTGGCTGAAGAACTAAAGAGCAGCTAACCAAACATTACAATATCTTACCTCAAAAAGTGATGTACTCACTAATTTAAAAGATAAACTCTTTCATAGGCGGAGTTATTCAAATTTCCAGAAATTTCCATTGAAAATATTGAAAAGGAAAGGTCTCAGAACAAAAACATGAGGGGAAAGAGAATTCCCTCCTCTCCACCCACCCAGGCCTTCACATCTCTACTCTGTCATCAAATCAGCAGGTGACTTTAGACCATTCGCACACTCCACAAAGAACAGGAAAGCCAAGCACCTCAGAAAAATATATAAATGAGAATAATTAAATAAATCATTACCTTGAAGCACACACTATAAAAATCAAATCATGGAGATTTCAAGTAGGCAAAAATAGTTACTGCATTGTTTTTTTCATCCTACACCAGAAACCATTCAGTGGACATCTCTGTCCATGCATACTTGCATACCTCTCCACTTCTCTTTATTGCACATAGTTTGTAAAGCTCAAATCAGGAGCTCCTCCATTTATTTGAATGCAGCAGAATCTGCCTGATCCTGTAAAGCCCCTTCCTGAAAACAGGGCCCAAAAGATCCCATTCAAACAAACACTGAAATCCCAAGACTGAGTGTTGTTGTTGTTTTATAATAATTCCACAATTAGACACTCAAGTAGAGTTGAGAACTCTTGTTAGAATTATTGCCAAGGCTAGGCTTCTTCTAGGGCCTAAGATTAACTACCAAACAAAACAGCATAAAGGAAAATGAAACTACAGTAACAGCTCTGCCCCAAAGGGCCATCTCAAAATGGCTAAATAGTTAGAGAACCTCCCCCAATACCAACATGTGCGTATCAGAATATAAAATGATGTATGTACTTTGAGAGAGTGGAGAAGGAAAACATAGATACCCAGGATCTGCCTTAAATCTCAAAGAGCATAGGAGTGCCATGTGGGTGGGTGGGGGAGCACCAGCCTAACAGCCTTTTGGTGCCATTCCATTGCTGTGTGCTACCTTTAAAAAGAAATGCCTTCACATGGCAGGAAAGGTGATTTGCTGTGCTTTGGATAGATACTGGGGCTAAAAGGTTCTTCTCCCACAGTTCCTTTCTGCAGAGTGAATAATTCAGGAAAATTCAAATGAGATGGCTTCCATTTGTCTTCTACTTCCTCTTCAGACTGCTTGACAGCCACTGCTTAAGTGTCACAAACCCTCAGTCATTAGCTATAACAGTGCACAGATGGAACAATATTTGCTCTGTCATTGGCATTCAATTAGGATGATGCCAGCTCTAAACATTAAGCCAGTTAAACTACGCTTTAGGCAAAGCACAGCCCATAATTTGAGCTTGTAAATTATCACTTGGAATCCTGATTTATCTGGGGTTTGATGTAAGGTACATATTATGTTTGTATATATAATTACATATATAAAAAAGAACTGCAGTCGAGTTTTTGGTTTTTCTACCAATAAAAGTGACACTGTGCTGCCTTTACCATCATGTAGGTATAGTCCAAATTCAAATAACAAGCTAGAAACTACATATCAACAATTTTATTTGCAAAAGTAAATAAAAGAGACCTGCCCACATATATGCCTCTGACTGGCAGTAAGGACTACCGTATTTTTCCATCTATAAGACACCCCCATGTATAAGACACCCCTATTTTTGGGGACTCCAATTCAAGAAAAAATTGTGTATTTTACTATCCGTGTATAAGACGCCTCCAAATTTTTGACATTATTTTTAAGGGAAAAAACCTAGTCTTATACACAGAAAAATATGGTAATTCCTCAAGTGTCAATGAGTGATTTTATTCACATTACTACAAAACATGTAGGTTAAATTTCTATACCACCCTTCATTTGAGGATCACAGGACGGTTTACAATATACAAACACAAAAATACATACCATAGTAATAAACAAATCAATACCCTCTCCCCACAATTTCTCGGTTTCTGGTTATACATTCTCAGCCTAGCACCTATCTTGGAACCATTCCTAAAAGCACAGGCCTAGAACAAGGATGGGGAACTTTTTGGTTCCACCGGCCAGATCCTTATCAGCCAGTTCTCACCTGTCGAAATCCCTTTCCCCCTGAATTTAAATTAGAAGCGGGGGCGGGGGAGACTTGCAAAAGCCTTTGCCCCTTTATGATTACAGTGAGATCAGAGATATGAAAGGAAAGGCAGGAGACTCAGCCAGGCTTTTGCAAGCCTCCTTTCTCTTCCCTTTTAACTACCCAATCTCAGAGATTTAAAGGGGAAGAGGGAGGAGGCTTTATGAGTCTCCTACCCTACCCAATCTCCTGTCCCCTCCTTCTGTCCCTATCTCAATCTGAACTCACTCTGATCTTTAAACTCTGCTCATCAGCTGAATAAAAATTAAATCCTTCTGCCTAGGCTGCACAATCCTGTTCCATCCTGAGAACAGGGTGGCACAGGCAACAGAGCTTTACACTCATTGGCTGATAGGCAGGTGGGCGTAGTTTGGAGAAAACAGTATGGTGGGCCAACTTGGATCCCCTGGCACGCCAAGACTGGATCATGGACCAAAGGTTCCCCACCCCTGGCTTAAAGCATGCTCAGTTCAAACTTTTCTAAAGAAACATTTTTGCCTTTTGACCACTAGGTGGCAACCACATAAACATATCTTACAGTTACCACTAGCAGTACCTTTGTGCACACATGGGAAGCCTGAATTCTCCTTTTCTCAAAGCCTCATCATTTGGCGAAATGAATGATAGATTAGAAGCATCTCAAACTATGGAAAATCCAACATTCATTTCTTTAATTAGAAGCCAAATCATCTCTGGATTGTAAGCGGGTCTACTGGTCACTAATTTAGCTTCATTTGTTAAAACTATTAATATTCAAATATGTATTCATGCCACAGCAAGGAATACACACAATAAGCATTTAGGACTTGAGTTCATAGATAAGCACCAGACTTCGGACTTCTGGGGTGGCGCCATCGGTAATGGCGGATTCCCTTTGATTCGGAGGGACCAGCTCCACGGAAAACGGATCTTTCCCGCTACGGCGAAGCGGGGACCCTTTCAAAAATCACAGGCGGATGAAGCCTGTGACCATGGGACTCGGCGGGCACCTTTAGCGCCCCCCCAACCCGTAAAGGAACCCACTTACAGGCTCCAGAGCGAAGAGGGGAAGTGGCGCGGTGCTGAGAGTCAACTGCTTCTTCCGTGGAGCGAAGCCGCACAGCCGTTGCCGGAGAGCGGTGCCTTTTCCTGGGACAATTTGGCTTTTAAAACAATCACCCGTGAGTACTTTAATTTCGGACAATTGGACTATAAATAATGACCTGCGAGTAGAAAGGAAAATTGGACTAAGAAATTCATCTCAATTTGGCACTGAAACAGGAAGGTCTAAACAGGAAGTCAGCCTTCCGTTTCTTGTAGATAGATTAAAGCAAAGACATGGCAAACTAGAGTTCAGAAAGTCGCTTGTAAAGGATTAACTTTCATCATTTAAAATTGTTGAACCCCCTTCGGAAGCAGAAGAAGAGGGGGGATTTTTTCTGGACTGTTTAAACCTGCAGAAGAGAGTGTAAAGTAAAGTAATTTTCCACCGTCTTGATCCTGGGAGCGGGGTGTCAGGACTGACGTTCATTGGAGCTCATTGACCAGAGACAAACGTCTTTGACAGATAGTTAAAAGAAGAGAAACATAGTGATTCCATTGTTCTCCTTCGCATTTTAAAGGAACAAATATTGACAAAATATCTGAAAAAGAAACTTTGTTGCTAGATCTGCCTTTAAAAGAAAAGAACAAATAGAATTTCTTCCCCTAGAGGGAGCCTGTGAAACTGTTACTAAATCTGAATCGGGGAGCTCTGCAGCTGCAACAGATTACGATCGTGGGAATAGACTTCTGACCTTGCAGAACAATGTATCCAGAAGCTTTGGTGCGTGCTTTCTGCAAAACAAGTGCCCTACTGGAACAGCTACATGAGAAGACGGACTTGATGACTGCTGCGATCAGAAATTTTGGACAGGTAGTGGGAAACTATATAGAGCCCACCCAGGAATCAAATCAGGAGTGTGCTCTGACAGATCAGATGAGGGAAGAGGATGTTGCTGAACCTCGGGCGTCAGAGATGGAGGGAGATGCGGCCCAGCAGGAACATGAGCTCTTGGATCTGACAAATGAACTTGGAAAAAGCCAGATTTGGAAAGATAAAGTTTGGTTTGGTTTGGAAATGGGGGGTTGGATAGACCCCCCTATGCAGGGATGTTTGGACTTTTCAAGTCTGGCAATGGGCCGTGAGATGTTTGGGGTTGTGGGGGCTCTTAATTCTGGAGGGACTTTGAAACATGCTTTTAAATACCACATGGAGTTTAGTGTGGAATATGGAAAAGGGACTGATTTGTTGAGAAGGGTCAAAAACACTGTCAAGTTGGAGTTCCCACGAGTGAAAGGAGCAGGAGACAAAGTAAAGTACAGGTATAAATATGAAGAAGAGCCGCGGAAGGGACATGGAAGAGACTTAAGGGCCTCGGACATAAGATTACCAGGTTAATGCGCTAGATTGATGGGATAGAAAGGACTGACAAAACCCGGGACCAGGAGGAAGAGACGCTGGATGAAGATTGGAAGAAAATTTTTTTTTTTATTAGGATTGCTTTATAAAATTAATGAATGTTAGAAAAATGTTGGAACGAAATCATCTGGCTTTAGCAAAAATGTTAAAAGAATTATGTAAGAATGTGTTATGGTTATGAGAAATTGGTATAAATAAGATCTAAGTTTCAAGTTTTAGGGTCTTTTATAGTAAGATAAGGTTAAAATAGATTAAGGTAATGTAATGACAGAATATTATGAAAAATGGAAAGGATTTGCTGTGACAATTAACAACTAGGATACAAAAAAGGGAGGAGTGAGGAGGTCAAAGAAAGAAGGTAATGACAGTTAAGGATTTGAGAATATTGGACTTGTTTTTTAAATGTTTATGGCTTATTTTTGTTTTTTGATTGTGTTGTGTTACGTGCTTTGTTCTTATTTTTTTGATTTTGATTTTTATCAATTTGTATTGTTTGATTGTGGTTTGTTTTTCTTCTGTTTTTTCTTTTTCTTTTTCTTTTTTGTTTTTTCTGTAACTTTAAAATTCTTAATAAATATCATTTAAAAATAAATAAATAGATAAGCACCAGACTTCATAGATGAACACTAACACACTCCACCCTGAAAATTGTTTAATGCATCAGACCTGGAGCAAGTTAATGAAACTTTTATCACCTGAAGGAATGAACAGTCTGAGAAGCTGTTGGTCTCCAGTACTCCTATCCATCTATTTTCCCCACTTATGTGGGCAATAGGCCCAAGAGAAGGTTGTCGTTTGGGAAATACTGTTCTTTCTCTCCCTCCTTTGAGTCCTGCTAAGCACTGTTGCAGAAAGTGGCTAACATTTATTTTTGTACAACCAGGAGCATTTCTTCTAAACAACAGTTTTCTTACAGTCTGCAAGTATATGAGAAATCATGATCTGCCTTCACACTAGGTTTGAGTAGGTTGTCAGAATAGTGCTGCCAACTGACCCACTGTGGCCTTCCTAGGGGAACTGAGCAGCTGCTTGGCTCTGGTGGGAGCCATTTAATGATTTCCCACAATGCAATGCCCTTGAGCAACTGATGGAGTGCTGCTACACTGTACACATGCATCACTACTTTTCAATACTTGTTATCAAATTAGCCATATAATCATCTCCCACATGGAACCAGTGTTTCACACACAATTTTATTGTCATACTTCTGTACCACTTTTCATCACACTGTGAGCAAAAGTGGTTCCAACATCACTTCAGATTTGTAAAACAGTTAAAAGTGCAACAATAATTTCAGAACAGAAACAAGAAGGAGCCCCAAAGTAAAAACAGTTCAAAAACCCAGAGCAACTTGCATCAATACTCAGGACCCCGATTATTCAGGGATTTATACCAACACCATGAATACCAACACCATGAATATAGCCCGGTAACATGCATGTAGGTTAGGTCCCTCATCCATAATCGAATCATGGGATCATGGGACATTCATGAGGGCAAATTGACATGGCTACCTAGGGGGATAGGGACAGATAGAGAATGGTCCAACAGAGGGGATAGCTTTGAAATACCGTATGTGCCACGTCTTCTCGATTCTTGAATGCCATATCTTGTTTAGTTTATTGAATTTAATTTATTAATAAAATATTATATTTATATCACTCACTCATGATATATCAAAGCAGTGTGTGTGTGTGTGTGTGTGTGTGTGTATACACACACATTTCTCCTTAAAAGAATACAAAATAATCGCGTCTGGTTCATCTTGGGGGGAAAAGAACAACTACTGAATAGGTCTGTCAATATCAAAAGTCTTCCAAAGATATTAGCACCAAAGATGCCTGCCAAATCTTCTGGAAGGGAATTCCACCACATTGGCCTAGCAACACTAAGTGCTCAACTTCAAACTGAAGACAGCTGAGCTTCTAAGATGCAGGAGACAACTAAGAGCACTCATTTGGATGATCTGAATAATTGAGCTGGGATATATACACTCAGGCAGTCCTTAAGATATTTAGCACTGTTGTTCCAGGCACTGTATATATAAGAAACGTGAACCTGGCTCAGTAGCATATGTGCATATGTTTTAGCAGAGGTATCACGTGCTGCTGGCCATCTGTACCCATCTAGCCATTGCATTCGTCGCTAGCTGAAGCTTCCAGACCAGACCCAAGGGCAGCTGCACGTACAGCACTCTGCAGTAATCTAGTCTTAAAGTTACCGATGTGTTAATAACAGCAGCCAGACTATTCTCATTCAGATACAACATAGCTAGTGTACCAAACAAAGGTGGTAAAAGGCATTCCACAGAATGGGCTTGAAATGACAAAGATGTATCCAGGTGTACCTCCATGCTATGTACCTGCTCCTTCAAGGTGAGCACAACTCTGTCCAGAAGTGGCAACTGGCCTATATTCTAGATATGGAAACAACCTACCGACAGAGTCTCCATCTTCCCAATGTTCAAACCCAATTTACTGGCCATCATCCAGTCCACCACTGCATTCAGAGCCAATGAGAGAGGGAGACAACTACCTCTAGTTCTGTCCCCATCCTCTCTGCTGAGTTCTACAAGGACAACACCAAGGAGGAGGAAGCTGACAGGAAGTCCATCCTCTGGACTGGATGTAAGAAAGAAGGCAGGCAGGTTGAAGGGTGGGGCAGAATGAGTTTGGTGGGGCAGTGCAATATTTGCCCTTATAGACCAGCCTTCACTGCACTGGGGCAAAAACAGTGCCCTGCTGAACCTCATAGCACAAGTGTCGTAGAGCCAAAGAGGACTCTCCCATTACTACTCTGTTGATTCAACCGTACAGCTAGGAACAAAATCATTGTAATACAGTGTGTCTAGCACCCATCCTGAATGGTCAGTCCAGTGGCTAGAAAAGTAAGAATAGAAGGGTTGTACTCCCCCATCCCACTTTCAATTTTAAAGACCATTAGGATGACCAGGACTGCTTCAGTCCTGAAATCAGGCCTTATCCCATGTTAAAATTGCTAAGAAACTATCAGGATGTCCTGGTCCTCCCTTCTTCCATATTTGTATGAGCCCAGCTATGATGGTATGAGCTCCTAAAGCATGTACTGTATGTGGTAGCTGCGGGCAATTATTAATCAGTCTAAAATATTTATCACCCCCACCACATATTTTACAGGTGCATGACAGGGATGTATGAGGATTTTTAGAATAGTTGTAATATTTTTATTTATTTTTAAAATTACGTTTATATGCTGCCCTTCACCCGCAGATCTCAGGGCAGTTAACAAAATAATAAAAGGTTGTTTTCGAAATTCTTAAAATACCATCGAGTTGCATCTTACACGCATGTAACTTGCGCAACTGCAGTTTTTCCTGCTTGGTGGCTGGTCAGCTGACATTGCACAAATTAAATGCATGCAAGGCAGACAGCTTAAAAGCTATTTCCGTCACAGGATAACCCAGTGCAGAAAGAGGTTTTAAGCTCTCAGGCTTGCTTACTGGGCTCTGGAAGGCTCTTGTGAAATCTCGGATGGCCCCATGAGATATTGTAGGTGGTAAGGCCCATTTGGCATGCTGGCTTCACAAAGGTAAGGGTGCTCATGTGGAGGAAGTTCCAGGGTTGTTTTGACTATACATGGTTTTGGCTTTACACACAATCCCCAGAACACAACCCCAACCAAAGCTGCAAGTTGATTGTATTTAGTTTACTTTATATTAAGTGTAATTTTAATTAAAAAGTGTAATTTTAATGTTCTATCTAGTTTATGCACATAGGTACTCTTCCATCCTTATTAGAAGCCATACTTCTTTATTTCTCTTTGAGTTGCAACATACAAATAAGAACTGGATAAAACATATAATAAATTATCAAGTGTAGCATTTTTGTTACTTTTACCTAAATTCTGGCTTGCGGTCATACGTGTGTGTGTGTGTGTGACTAATCTATTAAAATCACATTATGCCTGATAAGAAAGCAGTAAGCCACTCTGATTGCTGAGTGACAGACTTAAGAACAGTCTCAACACATTCTTTATGGCATTCAGCCAATCTCTCTAGGAACACAATGACCCCAACTTTATTCATAAATCTTAGTTTGAAAAATACTCTATTCCCTAAAGCAATTCTCAGCACTCCTTTAAAAGCTTTGGTGGGGCGGGGGGGGGCGGCAGGGAGAGATCAGATTAGAGTTAAACAGGTTATGCAGATGTTATGAGAATGTAACTTCTAAAAATAACTTCATAGATCAATTTAAGTAAACTTCAAATAGAAATCTCACCTTCTGCACAGCACACCACTTGTGTGTTACATAATTCTGCTCTCAAATTATCAGATTGATATAGTAACTGTGAAAGAAAGCCTTAGACACAAAAGGACGCTTGTACTTTAAATGGATTTCTGTCTTGAAAGTTTTATGCCAATACATTATGTACAGTATCTGATGGAGCTATTATGCTTGACATTGTTTTTTTAGAATGCCTCCAGGTGGACAAGAAGAGAATAAATCCTTTTAATATATATGCTCACCAAATGCATTCATAAAAGCTATATTGGGGAGGAAGATTTTGGTATTATCTCCTAACTCTTATTGCAATTTTCTATAGGAAAAAATAAAGTACAACTTAGACATATTTGATGAAAGAACATACAAAATAAAAATAAATAAATACCAGGTACATTGGGTTGGATCCAAACCTAGACCCAATCCATGCAGTGTGTCTCCTCTTATTCTGCAGTTGCCACATTATCTGAGACCAAGGCATGGTTTGGCTTAGTGTTATGTTTGAACCAGCCTGTTTCATCCGACCACAAACCATTATTGACAAAAAGCAATAAGGATTGTGTCACATTTTTGTCTAATGTGCATAAAAAACAAGTTGCAAAACTTTGAAATGTCAATGAAAGAAAGAAACTTCAAATATATAAATCTGAGGCCCCCTTTGCGTTTAAGGACCTGGGACTAATAGCCCTCCTGAACACTCCTCTCCCATACGGCCCGCCTATCTATATCCCATACTCCTTCCACTGCCATGAAGCTGACCCTCACTGACACACAGCTACTGAAAGCCAAACATAATCACAGAAATAGCACTTAGGTAATGCCTAAGAGAAAGTGCCATAAACTAACAGCTGTGACATATAATCAATGGCGCTCCTGGTAAAACAATATTCAGAATAACCTTGCTTATTTAAAACAACATCCAATATGTACACAGAATGTTCTAACCAAGCCATTTAAAAAACGATCACAGGTATCCAAAGAAGGTGGGTGAATCCTTATGTACTTCAAAGAGAGTTTCATGCTTTTACTTCAAATGATTAGTCTTGAAAGCCATGTAACTGCAATATATATTAATCCACTAGAGTACACATTGAACACATTGCTTCCAAGCACCACTGACTAAGTGTCTCAACAGAATTGCTTCCATGTTATAACAGTAAACTGCTCTGTATATTTAAAGGGAATGAAAGTTACTCCTTTGCTGAAATAACATTTGCAATAGGAAATAGAACTATACGGGACTAAACAAATATCCAAACTGGTTTGTTGGTACAGATCAGTGCAGGTGAATACAGTGGTACCTCGGATTACATATGCTTCAGGTTACATATGCTTCAGGTTACAGACTCCGCTAAGCCATAAATATTACCTCAGGTTAAGAACTTTGCTTCAGGATGAGAACAGAAATCGTGTTCCGGCGGCGCGGCAGCAGCGGGAGGCCCCATTAGCTAAAGTGGTGCTTCAGGTTAAGTACAGTTTCAGGTTAAGAACGGACCTCCGGAACGAATTAAGTACTTAACCCGAGGTACCACTGTACTTGCAAAACATTCACTTGTTGAAGCACTTTGAGATGAGTCTGTTCACAATCAGAGTCCAAAACAGAGACATTCTTAAGCTTTGCAGGGATAGAGCAAGGGTTCACATCTTGAACAAAGGACATGTTCTGTTTGTAATTCTCATATGGGTATTGAGATATTTGCATTTTCCACAACAGATTCTCTCACTGCAACTAGTATGTGTCAAATTTGAGTGAATGTATACTTAAAGAAATACAGTAGCTCAAAGGCTATCCAATATTGAGTTAAAGTAACTACTAACACATACCAAAATTGTTAACAGATGTTGCAAGGATTTATTATCTCCCTCAGTTTGACATACAGGGAACGCCGTGTTTGCATGGGAGTTGCGCTCTGGGTCAGTTTGTGAGTCAGTGGCCATGCATAAGCCTGTTCCACTCCTGCTCTGCCCCCTTCCAGAGCCAAAATCAGCGCACATGTTGGCATGCACAAAATGGTTGCCACCTGTATGTTTGCCACTAGGAACTCTGAAAATATTGCTGCTCTGTCACGTAAATCTAGAAAATTGATGGACACCCACCAACCTTTGAAAAGGAAGGAAGGTACGGCTGCTATAGCCACTTGGCCAGATATGCTTCAGGGTTGAATAGAAGGCTCCCCACAATGCTTGGTGTTTATTTAAGAAAGCACTAAGGGAAAACTGTTTTCAGTTAATAGAGTCCTTTCTACAGATCAGTTACATTTGATGCAAGACACTACTGTTATAGGCAGTATGAGGTATGGGGAGAAGAGAGGTGGGAAAAGATAGTGGAGAAGAAAAAAGGGGGATAGTAAACTTTCATAGTAAACAGGGACGCGGGTGGCGCTGTGGGTAAAACCTCAGCGCCTAGGACTTGCCGATCACATGGTCGGCGATTCGAATCCCCGCGGCGGGGTGCGCTCCCGTCGTTCGGTCCCAGCGCCTGCCAACCTAGCAGTTCGAAAGCACCTCCGGGTGCAAGTAGATAAATAGGGACCGCTTACCAGCGGGAAGGTAAACGGCGTTCCGTGTGCTGCGCTGGCTCGCCAGATGCAGCTTGTCACGCTGGCCACGTGACCCGGAAGTGTCTCTGGACAGCGCTGGCCCCCGGCCTCTTGAGTGAGATGGGCGCACAACCCTAGAGTCTGTCAAGACTGGCCCATACGGGCAGGGGTACCTTTACCTTTACCTTTTAAACTTTCATTGTTTTACATAATGTGCAAGGTTTTTATGTCAGCATCATGTGGCTGGGTTCTTCAATTATTCATTTGTTTGTTTTCATCGGCAGTGAAAGAGATTGGGGAGCCCAGGGCATGGTTGGTTGCATTTGGTTGATTGCAGTGAGTTTTGTTTGTGTGTGAGAGGAAATTTTTATTTTTTGGGGGGGAGGGGAGTTGTTGTTGGGTCAAATTAGCCATATTGATTTGTATGCTGTTGGGGTGGGGGTTATGTTGTCTTGTTGAACTGTGGGGAGCCACATCGGGGTGAAGGCATCCTCTTTTGTTTGTCCCCGTGCTAATTTCAGTTTGTTGGTTAGCTTTCCTAGACGGGCTGTTTCCCATGCAGTTTGGTACCATGTTCACTCCTGACAGGTCCCTCCAGTGTCTAGTTATGACACTCCTAGCTGCTGAGAGTAGGTGTCTTATTTGTGCTTTGTTAAAAAAGTGTGCGCTGTTGTCTTGGAAAATATTTAATAGGCCCAGTTCTGGAGTTGCTTTTCATATCAGTTTCGTTATTTTGCAGATTTCTTGTGGGACTGATGTCCAAAAGTGTTTGATTTGGGGGATGCTGGAGTGTTGTTATAAAATTCAATGAGAGACAGTCTATTCCCCTCCACCCCCGTTGTATAATAATTCTTTGTCATACTGTGTCTATGTAAAGAAAGGCATTTTTCTCAGTGTGATCCTTAATGCTGTGTTAATGATCAAAATGGTTGACTCTGTCCTATAAGGACACTGACAATTACTGTCATCATACCTTGCGTGCAGCAGTTCAAGTTGTTTAAAACTTTGATAATGACTACTTTACTGCATTTAAATGAAGGTCATTTATCCTTCCATTCCTTACTTATATAGTGCCTCTCCAAGCAACTTGCCTCAAGGCCCTTTTCAAAGAACGCTAATCAGTACACAAAATTATATTGGAGAAAACAACCTTGTCACAAATGCCATAGTACTAATACATAGTAAAAGCTAAATAAAAAAATAGTAGCTTTCCTCTCTATATTTAAAAATGTCAAACATTTCAAGTAGATAGGAATGCAGGAGATGAGAAGAGATTTCACAGTACATATTAGGAGAAAAACTGTTAGGCGATCAGAACATTCACATGGCCAATAAAAGAAAATTGGAGACATTTGAAAAAGCACAACATTTGATGGGCAAAGCAGTGCCAAAAAATGTCATAATTGCAAACTGTTTCTGGACTTTACATCCTATCAACCTGACCAGCCAACTGGGAAGTCTAGCCATATGATAATAAAAAACATCTGTGACTATTTTAAGGTTTGATTGTGACAGCAATGCCATCAACGTGACAGCATTACTTACTGAAAACTGGAACCACTTCATTCAGCTTGCCAGTCCAAAAAGGTAAGAAGCATTTCTTACCATGAATAAGGGTAATGCCTTATCAGTACACACATACAACCATCCCAGACTAGCTTAGACAAATGAATTTACTTCCACTACCAGTCTGTGAAGACTTCACAAAAGATGCCTGATAATGTCACTCCTATTGTGTGAGGGTTTGCTGGCTACTTACCAGTAGCCATGCTATTGGCTGCAAATGAAATAAATGTCCCTGCTCCTACGAAAGGGGAGGGGGAAGCAATCAGGTGCTATCTCCTGGTGGTTTAGAGGAACATAGTACATGATAAATAGGTTTGAAAACAGCTTTCTCCCACAAATCAGACTCTTATGGCAGTGCCAAAAGTACATTCTTACAATGTTTTGATTACAAATTCCTTAATCTGATAGAGGCAACAGCTCCACCTTTCTTCTATCTTAATGATTATTGGATCTCACAGAGAAGCAAAACACCATCAAGCACTGAATTATCTGAAGATGATATCAAAAGTGAGGATTAAGAGGGTACAGAAGATCTTCATTGAGATCAGAGGGTTGAATCTGGTGAGCTTGTGAGCTCTTTGCAGGGCAATGATGGCTCATTCCTGTTTATTAACCATATGATTAATTATTATTATTATAGTGTAGCTAATTTAGTTTAATCATTTGGAGAATGGAGCTGTGAGTGCAGAAATCCTTGTCTGAATTAAGCACTCAGGGTTAAGTTTAAGATGTTAGTCTCAGTTTCTATTTGCAATATGGCATTTATAATACTGGACTCCCTTACAGTGTTGTTGTGGTTGCAGAGACTGTTTATGTGAAACCCACATTAATCATTTCCATTGGCCAATTTGTAAAAGCATTCAGTTTACATCTGGAACAGGCAACAAAGTTCAGCTACTTAACATAAGAGAATTAATATGAGCTGCAAGAAACTCTACGATTCCCTGAATTACATTTGTCAAGCGAGGTACTTATCATCCCTTAAGTTTGCATTTAATGTGCCTAGATGCAAGCTAGGGGTTAAATTGAGTTAAAAGGTTGTGATAAAGAGGCATAAAGCTGAGAACTCTATTCATTCAATCATTGTGTATTTATTAATTTAAGATTCTTCCACACTAACAATTTGTATATTGCTTAATCACAGCCATCTTTAAATGGTGTACGGAAAACACAATGCAGTAAGACTAAGAATGAGTTAAAATTATCTACACACACACATACCCCTACCTTGCAGTTGTGGCTTTCCTCAT